CTAGGGGGCGAAGACCCCCAACCCCCCTTTCCAATGCAGCCCAATTTTATTCATCTTCATTCTTTTTAATATAAAAGATTGTTATTAAAAATAAAGAAAAATGAGATCCTCCTTCCTCTTCTTCCTCTTCCCCTTCCTCCTCCTCATCCCCCTCCTCTTAAGGAGGCTTACGCCTCCTTGTGTTCGGGAGGCTTACGCCTCTTACATTCTGAACTATGCCTCACACCTCTAGGTAGTGGAACTCCTCGCGTCATGCCACCACGCTTAAAAACATTGATAGATACAAGAAGGGTCAAGCACCCCTAGCATAGGCCAGCATTGCTATCTATCCCTTCCTTTCACTTAATATAGATATTCAATTTACATAACACCCCGGAATATTTGAGCCTTATATTCCCATCGCCTTTCCATTGTATCAGTCAGTCACTGAGTTTACTGGTTTACAAGTCCATGAGTAACTGACTCCCACTTCCTTTCCCAGCTGTTCAATTTCTCTCACAGCATTTCTGTGCTGCCATGAGCCTTTGAAACCACTTCTCAGCTACTCCATTCCTGCTTCCAAATCTCCCTCCACTGTTGACTGATCTACTAAATTTCAAGCCCCGCAGTGGAGCAAGTACTTCAGTTCTCATAGAATCACCAAATGCCAGTAGAGATAAACGTGCTCTTTGATCCTTCTACCTTTGCCTGGCCTAAAAAAGAAGAAGAATTGTGTGCATGTGTGCAAGAGAAGCTCTGATTTGGACAATCTGGGTAGAAAAGGAATGCAAGAATCTTCTTAGAGGAGAAAAGCCGACAAGAATTAAAGGACTACGTGCTGAATAGGGCAATACATTGGTTAAAATCATTGGATTTGTTTCACCAATTCTCCTTCAATGAGATATGGAGGAATTGGTCAGCAGTGGCAAGTTGCTCCTCCATAAAGAATAGAGTAAATTCAAGCTGGGAACCCCCTTCTAAAGGTTTTTTGAAGCTGAATTTTGACGGGAACAGTCAAGGTAACCCAGGCCCTTATGGGATCAGATGGATTTTGAGAAACAAGCTTGGAGATGTTTCACTATGTTACTCGGGTCCATTGAGAACTGGAGACTCTGTTAAGGCATAATTATTAGCTGCCTTACAAGGAGTACAGTTTGCCAATCAACTAGGCATGGAACACCTACTGATTGAAGGGGATATTCCAAAGTAGTCGTGAGGTGGTTGAAGAACCTTGTGTGGCATTATAAGAATGAAATCAAGAAATTCGAGTGGCCGTCTGGCTGACATGAAATATGTATTTGAGAATACAGTGGGTGGGGAGTTTCAAATGAAATGGCTGATTGTTTATCCAAGCAAGGGTCAAATAGGGATCATCTGTATTGGGCTCAGTTGTAATTCGATATTTGCTTTTCTTACTATTCTCCAGGGGATTTTTGTATTAGCTTGGATATTTGAATTAATAAAATCTTTATTCATAAAAATAAAATAAAATAAAATAACTTGTGCAGCCACTTTCCACTCTTCTAAGAAGCCTACACACCAAAACAGCCCTTTTCACCTATTCTTGAACTCACAAAATAAAACTTCCCTTCTTAGTTTTTCCCTCGTCACTAGACTTGTTAGAGGGTCAGCATTTTTGTTCTTCCTATAAAAAACAAAAAAGGAACATCAGAAAGAAAAACTATGGATTAGATTTCATTATTTTTTATTTTGCCTTTGCTTCTGAGGATGCCAGTATGCTACACACTTATACACAACAGTTTTTTTTTTTTTTTGATAGTTTACGCTTATACACAACATCACTCCCATTTTTTTATGATGCACTAGATCAAGAAGACCTAACCAGCCGAAAATGTTCAAGGAAATAAAAGGATTTTCTCCACAAACTCTAAATCATCCTTTAGCTCCATATGCAAACAAAAAAAAGCTCTAAAACAAGTTCTTAGGAAAATGTTTAATTCTCGAAACGATGAGTTTGGGATAATAGGAACTTACATTATAGGTTACATCAGGCTTTTCAGACTGACTCAACAGAGAGATACTAGAGTCGGCTTCGGGCGGCAACACGTCGACAAGGGCGTTCGAGTGGCGATGCAACGCCACCGACGCCGAAGGCTTCAAGAGCTCCCTGTTAATAGTGCTAAGGATTCTGACATAGTAATTCGAGCCGGTCGTCGATCCGACAATGCCGTTATTCTGATCCACCATCTCCATAAACTGACCAATAACAAGCGGAACCGATTGGATTCTCTTCACCTCCTCCTGTGCTCGGAGAAGCTCTCGTTTCAAGTTCTTCTGCTCGTCTTTCACGTACTCCTCCTGAATATCAATGAACTCAAGCTGGCGCTGAAGGGATTTGAGGCGTCCATAGAGATCATCCTCGTCGGAGAAGATGAACTGATCGGAAAAGCCGTAAAGGTCGGCCTTAGAAGAAGGGATCGAAGGCGGTGGGTCCGACGACGAGGGCTTTAGGTCGAGAACCATCGCTGATGCGGCCATGGTTGATCTTGTGAATTCTGCAGAGAGAAGGGGAGAGATGGAGTGAGTTCCAAGAAACAAAAGTTCTTTTCTGCTGATTGGTATTTATAGGACGTTGTTAAGCGGCTGTCTCCCATTTCTAAAATGGAAGTTTACGGACAGACTGTAATCGTCTACCAATTGGGAGACCATGGATGTCTGGACTCTAAATGAAGCCCATTTACATTTATGTAATAAGCCCACCCATTCGAGCTCGGATCTTTTTCCCCAATAAAAGTCCGGATCTGGTCCCAAGTAGAGATGAAAACGGATCGAATATGATTCGGATATTTTTGATAGTTGTTAAATATAATTCTCAATTTTATAGAAATTAAAGAGCTATAAAAAGTTGTTAATGAGTTCATTAATAACAATATTTATTAACTTTTGGTAATTTATTAATCATACTAATAAGAATATTTAATTTTTAGTAACTTATTGTATTTATTAATTTTTTGTAATAGCACTATTTAACCATATTTAACTATTTATTAATTAATATAAATATTTTAAATGAGGGAGAGTGGATATAGATTGGGGGGATGCATTTTAGGAATTGATTAGGGAGTGGGGCAACATGATAGTTTCCTATTGGTTTAAATGAGATACCTTGGGAGAGAGATTATAGATAGATTTTTAGGTAGTTGGGTGACATGGCTTAATGGGAGTGGTGAGAAGGGGAGAGGAGAGAAAGTCAAAGAGAATGCAAGGTGGGGATAATGGAGCAAAGAGAAGCATGGTGACGGGACCCGTGCTTTGTTAAGTGAAAGTTAAACCATGGTTTTTAAAAACAAACCGGTGACCGAACCGGTCAGGGGTCTAGTTGCCAGTTTGAACGGTTCAACCGTTCGACCCGAACGGCCAGCCCGTTCTAACAAAAAAAGTAAAAAAAAAAATTAAAATTAAAAAATTGGAAAATGTCAAAACTGTTCAAACGGTTAACCGGCCGTTTTCAGCGGTTTGCTGACCAAAATCAACGATTTTGGGGGAAAAAGCAGTTTTAGAGGAAAACGGAACCGGTCAGGAGACCGGTTCCCGGTTTTTCCGATCCGGTTTTGAAAAAAGTGAGTTGAACAATATAAATACATAAGAGTATATAGTTGTTTTATATTTTAACTTTTTAATAAACAATCTGATCAAACTCAACCCGAGTTGGTCGGTTTTCTGGTATTTCATATCGGCTTTGGTTTAATAAAGATATATTAATATTTTATATTTTAAATTTAATTTTTTAATACGAGAAAGTAGGAAAATTCTCATATTTGTTACTATAAAATATTTTATATCATAGATTTAATTTTTGCAATTTATTTTTTAATAATATCAATGTAATTTATGAAATTTAAAGTTAATTTTAAGTTTAAATCTTTTAAACAAACAAACTAAACCGAAAATAGACCCAAATTGATACAACCCGAGTTGGTGGGTTTTCGCTAATGGTCAATTGGTTTCGAGTGACAAATTGCATATTTGACGAGATCGATTTGGTTGGCGAAACAGCCTACAACTGAATTGAACCAATCATTTACATTCCTAATTTTAACTAAATTTATAGTTTAATCTCCAATAATTATTGAAAATTTATAGCAAACATACACAATCATTGAAAATAAGTTTATAATGAAAATATAATAGATATATAATAAAAATACAATAATTACAAAAATATAATAAATTAGTCTATAAATATTGTAATCTTAAATAATAGTTTAATCTCTAATAAGTATCAATCTATAAATTATAAAAAATATATAATTACTAAAAAAAATTATAACAAAAATACAATAAATTAATTTTCAAAAGCTAACCAATAGTTGTTTAATATCCAATAATTATTGATAATTTTCTATTAAATATCAAAAGTAAAAATACATTTATAAATAATTATTGAAAGCATATTTATAAAAAATAAATAATTATTTAAAATAAAATAAATACTAATTATAGTATATATAAATATATAATGGATATACACTATTGTTGTAAAATTATTACTAATAAATATAATTTTGTTGATATAAGTGAAATTAGTTATTTACAATATTATTTAGTTATTGAAATAATATTGTTATTTAAATTCTTAAAATGTTAATTATTTATTGAATTTAATAATCCATAAAATTATAATTGATTACATAATTCGTTATTAATTTTGTAAAATATAAAATTATTATTATTATGAATTCTATTATAACTATTTTTCTACTTTTATGATTTTTTTTTAAATTTATTACATAATTTTGTTATTTTAACTATTTAAAATTTTGTCATGTTAAATATTTTGTTATTTAAATAATATGTAAAATATTTAAAAATTTTCATTATTTGAGTTTTATTTATTTTAATGTTATTACGTAATATTAAATATTTTGTTATATTATTTAGCTAATTTTAATGTTTTATTTAAGATTTTTAGTTATTGAAATATTTAAATAATGTTTTATTTTTTAATGCTAAATTTTATTATTTGAATAACATTTAAATTGAATAATTCATAAAATTATAATTTATATTGTTACTACATAATTTCATGATGAATTTTGTAATAATATTGAATTGTTAATAATATGAATATTATTAAATCTATTAACTTTTTGTGTTTGAAATAAATATTTTAAATTTAGTATATAATTTTGTTATAACATTTAAATAGTTCTGAATTTTTTTAATTGAAACTTTCTTTAGATAGATATAGATAAAAAGTGGGGCTGAGGATAAATAGGAGTTAGAGATAGTTTAGTAGAGATAAATAGGAATTAGAGATAGTTTAGTAGAGAATCTCTCTACTAAGTTAGAGATAATTTAAGAGATAAATAGAAGTTAAAGATAATTTAGGAGATAAATAGGAATTAGAGACAATTTAGGAGGAAGTGGGGGAAAGTGGGGCCACTTGGCTAAACATTCGAAAAGCGAATCCCTCTTTCTTTATGGTTGTTAGAAATAATTAAGCATATGTGATTTTCTTATTGGTTTAATGGGTAACTGGCGTAGAGGGGGCAAGTGGAAGGTAAAATATTAAAAAAAAAATGTGTAAATAAGGGTGGGAATAAGTGCATAAATGAACCAACTCATACCAACCTCGATCCCAATCCAACTTAAGAAACAAAAATATTATTTTTCTCAAACTCGGGTTGGGTTAGGGTTGACATTAACCCATCTAGCTTGGCCCAACTTGCGGCCACATCTTTGTGTCGACAATCAACATATGTCAGAGTCCACCAAAACAATAATCTTCACCAACATCCATTTTATCATGCAATCTGTAGGGGACCTACAACCATTTCTATGGGAGGGAGGTCCTCTACTATTCTGAACTTCTGACATCACCCTGGCCATGGGTCCCACTACTACAACCACTGGGGGTGGATCGGGTGAGGAACTTAGAGCCTGAGACTGAGGGCTTGTTCGTTTGCTTTGACGTCTGATATCTGAAAGTTCAATAATTACATTAAGAGGTATATTGATATTGGTGAACTTTTCATTTCTCTGAACTCTGAATGCAAGAACATTGTTCTGAATTCTGAAAAATGTCAAATGTCCAATTTAACCCCATATAAGAGAATTTTTGTTTATCTATATAGTTCAATAAAGAAACAATATTAAAAATTATTATAATAAATATTACCTAATATTAATTATTAATAGTAATTAATTAATAATAAGTTAATGATTAATTCATTAGTTATTTTATGATTAATTAATACTTATTATTAATAATTAATATTTATTACTAAAAATTAATTAACTATTATTAATAATAATTAATTATTACTTAGTTATGAATTATTATTATTAATTAATGGATGAAATATTATTAATAATTAATAATACTTCATAATCAATTAATAATTAATTCAATATTTATTTATTTTTATGATTAATAATTAATAATTAATAATTAACTAGTAATTAATAATTAATGAAACTATACGATGATAATTAATATTGTAATTAATTAATTTCTACTAGAATATTACTATAACATATTATAATGAATATTATAATATTAATCATTATTTTTTATGTTAGTAATATTATATGATTATATTATAATATTAGTATTATGAATATTATATTAATACTATATTATTACTATTCATAATTTATAATACTATTTAATATAAACAATTATTGGTTTCATTATAATTGGTGGTGGGTCCGATGAATCTTCATATGAGATGTTATAAAGTAATTGAGCATTAGAGGGGCAATATGGGTAAAATACACTAAAATAATGACGTGAGTCGTTTGTACTTTAGATATCATTAGTCTTCAGTGTTAAGAGCCACCGAACACCACTTTAGCAGTGAAAGTGGTACAAAACCACTTCAGTGTTAAGAGATCAGAGGCATTGAATCGGCTGAGAAGGTTGCCCATTTTGTGCCACTGGTTCACCAACCCTCAGAGCGACCCCTTCAGGCCGACTCAAACCTAGTCCACGTCAGTAGGTGCCGTAGGTAAATGACGGATCAACTCTCCTTAAGTCCCTTTCTTAAATAGGAAGCTCTCACCAATCCCCAAACCAGAGACTCAAACCTAGTCCACTGGTTCACCATCTTCGTCCCTCTTCTCTCTCTCTCACGATCTGAGTCTCTTCCAATTTACTCATTAGGCAATTCTCTCTGTCTCTCGTCGCAGGTACCCTACACACCCTTTCTTCTTCTTCTTCTTCTTCTTCTTCTTCTTCTTCTTAGATTTGTTTTCTCCCTCTTTGTTTCTTCTTTATCATTCCTTTCCTAGAAATTATAATTATGGAAAATCATGAAAAACCTTCTCAAATCTCAACTAGCTTAAAATGAAATTCTGTAATAGTAATATGCGAGATTTTCAGTCGTGGGTCCCATACAGCGCATAATAGCCAGTGGTCTAACATGAGTGGCGCTAAAATAATGTGGCTCGGCGATGGGTACTTTCAGGTGAGGTGATTGGCGGACGACGCCGAAGAAGATTATTAGCGTGAAGGAGTCGACTATGGTGCGCCCGGAGGAGAAAGCCTGTGGAACTCTAGCGGTTCGGCTTCGGCCGATTTCTTCGATTGGAAAGTGCTCA